ACAGTCAATCAATCAATGTTTCTTTTTTTCAACTTTTATTTTTTTTTTGTTACTCACCCAAAAACCACCACCCAAACTCCCAATTTTTTTATTTTTTTTTTGTACAGGGTGGTAGTGGCCGACGTGCGAAAGCGGGGCGCGCACCCGCCTGGCCCTTGCGAGGCCGCGACCGAGCGGGTCACGTAGCCGGATGGGACTACAGCTTGGAAAGGTAGTGTGCTTTAACCTGTCTTGTCCTCATCGGGGGACAGCTAAATACATTTTCTCTCTGCTCACATATTTTAACTGACGTTCTGCAATGTCATGGAACACGTCGTTTTCCTTTCCCCAACTGCCACTACTCCTAAGGCTATACAATGGACCCCTGCAAGCGTAGCTTTCTACCTCTCTCTGGCGAAGGGAGGTTACCTCTCTCGGTGGAGGCAGAGTTTCATATTATAAGGATTAGCTAATAAAATAATATATTAATATAAGCATTGAATAGCACTGAGAATTCCCATCTCTATTCCTTCACTTCAGGACATCCATTAACATTGGAACGATAYAGAGGAGCTTAGCATGTCCACTCCGCAAGGATGACACGCATAAATTRAGAAATGGTCCAAAAAAAAATTGCATGTCTGGTGCGAGTGCAAGGCTTGTATTAGCCCCTCATCACGATGATGCAGGGTAATCAGGCATTGTCGATGGTGGAAACCGGCGATGCTATCATCTTTGGCCAGACACTTGCACCTCCCCCTACCCCGCTCCAACCCCACATTAGCAGTGTCTAATGGCTMATATCATTGCTGCATAGCAACCAACAATATTTGGCCAAGGTCCGACCAACGCTGGCTTGGAGAGCCAATCGGTTATCTCTAGCTGGTAGAACACCAAGCTTGCCTAGGCACGTATGTGAGGCCAATGGTGATTGAACCCACGGCCTAATTCTCATCTACGGATGCAATTTTCCAAAAAAGGAAGGTCCCGTGGTCCTCGTTTGTGTTTTTTTTTTTTTTTGGGGGGGGGAAAAAGCAAGGATTCCATGACAACAAGACCACTTGAGGCCGGGAATTCCTCACAAACAACCCGGAGCGACTCAGACTGGACTGCCTGGACCATTGCCTAGCTTAGACTCGTGGGGGTTTACCCCCAACAACTCAACCCACCAACTCATCACTCTTACCGTTACACTTACCCATTGTTTTCAGTTGTTCAATCTCTCACCAGTTATTCTTCAATCCTTATCCCCTCACTACTCTCAATTTTCGCTCACTCCCCACTCTCGCACCTACCCTACGCCCCCACCCCTAGCCTTCTTACACCTTCCTACTGTACTGTTCACCTTCTACTCTCTCCATCCGTCTATACGACGGTCGGAACCTACAGCGGTTCCTGGTCCTACTGCGACACTCTCTTGAACCCCCGGTCCCTTCTGCCTCCTACTGTGGATAACTACCGAGTGTCCTGGTAAGTCTAGCTGAGAATCCAGTCTGAAAAATTTAAGCCTCCCCCTCCCCTTACTGTGACCAATCTACCCCCTTGTGCCCAGGTTTTCTCAAACCATCCATGTGCCAAGTTTCTCTCCTTTCGTTCCAAACCTTTCTTCTTCCAGTCCGCTTCAATYATCCTGCGTAGCATAATTTTGGAGGTGGCTTTGAACTCTGAGTCCGCAATGGGTTTCCCTTCGAACAACATCCGATTTCGCTCCGTCCAGATAACCCAGAATCGTACCGCCCTGAGTGTCTGTGCCACATATCCCCATCCTTCCTGGAGGGACATGTGTTCTGGGATTCCTCAGAGCAGAATCCACTCCTCGGACCAATCCAACTTCTCCTCTGTCCACAACTCCCACTGTTCGGCCCACCATTTCCAAACTCGCCTCGACGCCGGACAATCCCACCACAGGTGCTTCGTGGACTCTAAGGTCCATGAGCACCGTTTGCATTGTGCATCCACTTTCATTCCTCTTCCCAACAACCACACCRCTGACGGGGTTGCCAACAGGGATGCTAACCACAATAATGAGGCCGCCCGCTGAGTCGGGGAGTTTGTGATTTGYTGCCAACACCTCTGGATGTCCCGCTCAATCTCTCCCTGATCTGTCTGTAAYACCCTTCCCCATCTTTCTGAGGCCACTAATAAGGGCGTCCGATTTGGAGTTTGTAGCTCATATGCCAGATTGATCGARTAGTCATATAATTTTACATTCTCCCCTTGTACCCCTCTACCTCTCCAAGCCCATTGGGCAGGGTCTGTTCTTAGTCTTGCTAAAGGCGTTCCATTGTTCCAGAGCACCACCTTCCATTCTCCTTTCTCGTCAACCTCCTCTCTGACTCTTACCTCATGCAGTGGGCCCGACGGGACGGTGGTTAGCAACTCTTCCTCCTCTCTTATTACCAGGTTCCCTTCTTCATCCCTCCTACTCCATGGCTGAAAGGTTCTTCTACCGTCCACACCAATCCCCGTTAATTTCAAGAACCTGCTGGGTTCCTCCTCCGTGTCCAGCTCATACCAGGTCCCTGGAGGGTTCTTACCCTCACGGCTGAGTATCCATCTCCATTCTTCAGGGATGCAGTCCAGGACCCTCTCTCTTCTTTCCTTCACATATTTGCTTGGTYTCAGCTTCTCCTCCAACTCTTCCACCGAATACCACCTTCCCAATATCTCATTCCACAAATCTCRTATCCTCACAACTCCCTTTTCCACCCACGTTCTCCCAAAATTGCCCGGAGCTGCGTTCGCCATGAGCATCCTTCCTTCCTTATCCCTGATTAAGTGGTTCTCAAAGATAACCTGATTCGAAACTCCATCTTTTGTTTTAGGGTCTATGACCATATCTGGCTTTATTTTTCTCCATGCTTCCAGCACCGCCGCCTTAAACTTATATCTTATCTTCCTCCTCAGAAAGGAATCTATCCACACACAGGCCCACACATCAGCGGGTCTGACGAGGCTCCACTCTTTGCTCAGGATCTCTTGGCCTAGCGACACCCAGTGCTTATCCCCCTCCATAGTGATCGCTCTAACTACCCACCTTGCCAAAAGTGCTACGTTTCTTCTGCCCGGGTCTGAAAGACCAAGGCCACCGTCCAGCCTGGGAGCACAAATTAGGTCCCAGACCACCTTCGACATGACACCTTGGTCCTCTTCTGCCGACGGTCACCAGATGAACCTGGCTGCCTTTCTCCTGACTATTGACTGAGTTTTCTTCTGAATTGGCCTTACGTTACCCACATACCACAGGAGAGCAAACAGAGYCACATTCACTACGAGAGCTCTCCCTAACAATGACAGGTGAGGGGCTTTACCCCAAAGTGACATTTGTTGTAACACCCTCGATTGTAGGATCTCRTTCTGACGAAGGATGCACGACGACAGGGCCACTTGGACCCCGAGAAATCGCTCAGAATCACTATGTCCGATCCTTTTCATGCCCCAGTTAACTGTTGGTGTGTGGTTGTGTGGCAAAAAGAACAAAGACTTTGACCAATTAATCGCTGCTTCAGATAAATCTTCGTACTGTTTTAGGCAGTGTCGGAATGCCGTCATCGAGCCTTCCGTGTTCACAGACACTGCAAACAGGTCATCTGCCAAGGCTTTCACCTTGCAGACTCTGTACTCCGTTACTAGGCCTGAGATCTGCGTCTGTGCTCTAATGTTGTTTAAGACCACCTCTAGGTGCACTACAAACAACAACGGGGCCAAAGGACAGCCCTGTCGTAAAGACCGCGTTAGCTTAAAGGAGGCGGAAATATGACCATTAACCATGACAGCTGAAGACGATAATGAGTACAACTCTACCACCCAGGTACAAAAGATTTATCCGAATCCCATCCATCGCAGAGTAGTTGTAACATAGGACCAGTTTACCCGGTCATATGCTTTCTCCATGTCTAACAGCAGCACAACTAGGTTTAAATCCCCTTTCTCCACTATCTCCAGTGCTTCCACCGCTGTCACGATGTTCTCATAGATGGATCTCCCTTGCACAAATGCCGCCTGATCTTCCTCCACCAGCTTCGGAAGATACTTTCCTAACCGTCGAGCAAGAACTTTCGCCAAAATCTTGTACGAGACATTCAATAACGAAATTGGCCTCCAGTTTCGAATCTCATTTGTGTATGCTCTCTTGGCGCGAGGACTGCCCTTGCTATCAACGGCTGAGTGTGAACAAAAGTGTTGCCGTCCCAAAAAATAAAAAGTAAAAATAAGTGACTGCCGTTTCAATCAATCAGTCAGAGCATGTACCTCGCTATCAACGGCCGAGTGTGAACAAAAGTGTTGCCGTCCCAAAAAATAAAAAGTAAGGACTGCCGTTTCAATCAATCAGTAAGGGCATGCACAAACGCCAAAAATCATGGCGGTGTATMGAAGGACATGCACAAACGCCAAAAATCATGGCCGTGTATCTCTCCATGTTCTAGCGGAAGATTCACTCTCATTTTGCACAATTGGAGTGTAGTGGAGCGACGCCCATACTCACACAGGTACTTCTCCAACTCGCCGGAAGTTGCGTCCACGCGCCATCGTAATTGCGGTCAGGTACATTCTGGAAAGTGCTCGTGTGAGTTTGCCCTCTGAGCCCCGTCCAACCGGCACCGTGTTTCCACTAGCAAAGAGGATTGGGAAAAAACGCCTGAATCCGGATGTGTTTACTGCAGGGGATTCTGAAAAGCCTATCGATCGCGACTTTCGGCCGCTCTTCACAAGAGCGTCCAGATTCAGGTCTTAAATCCGATCCTCTTTGCTAGTGGGACCTTAGCCCGGAGGCGTGATCGTGTTGCGATGACGGTGCTGTGAGGGCTGTGCTGGCCTCATCAACCACCCGGTCTGAGCMTWATTGAGTTCTTCGTCGCAATCAATCAGTCAGAACCCCCGAGACGTGGCCGTGTGTGACGATGCGCACCACCATTAAATAGCAATCTTCGTCGTTGCCTCCTCCGTAGCAGACCGAACAGAAACTTTCGCCGCCGCAGCTGAAGGCGACGCAGTCGATTTGTCTCCCTGACCGGATCAAGACACCGATCACCAGCCGTGGGAGAAGACGATTGCGCAGGAGCTCGGAGTAGATCTWACGACCATGGCGCACGCTGGCAAGTACGCGGACGAGCTCATCGCCACGGCGAAGAAAATTGCGACCCCTGGGAGGGGTATCCTCGCCGCTGACGAGAGCACGGGCACCATCGGGAAGAGACTGGCCAGCATCAACGTGGAGAATGTGGAATCCAACAGGAGGGCTCTGAGGGAGCTTCTCTTCACCGCTCCCGGGGCGATGCAGTACATCAGCGGCGTCATT